TGATATTGAACTTGTTCCTGAGGAAGAGTTCTTTAGAGATGCACCAGAGGAGATTAAAAGTTCTGTGATATCAAATGACAGTACACACAATTTGATGCTCAAGAGACTCAACTATGAACTACACCAGGTAAACCATGCCCCTGTCTGTCCACTTCATAAAATTTTTGAATCTCTTCCTGGTTAAACTTCTGTTATGCTATTAGACATTGGAGCTGGCAACTTTTGAAGGTACCTAGATTTTGGATGAATTGCCATTGATGGTAATTCAAAGCTGAATTATGAATTATGAATTATGAATTATGACTTAAGAGTGCTTAACTATTTGATGTGCCAGCGCAAAGAACTATGTGAACTGCGTGAGAAACTGGAACAGCAAAAGAAGACACTTCAGGGGATCATAGCTAACAGAAAAAAATTCTTGTTGAGCCTCCCATCACATCTGAAGTCACTTAAGAAAGCATCCTTGCCAGTTCAGAATCAACTAGGAGTTCAGCACACAAAGAAATTAAAGCAACTGCATTCTGCAGAATTGCTTCCCCCGCCTCTCTATGTTATATATTCACAGTTACTGGCCCAGAAAGAAGCCTTTGAAGAGAATATAGAGATGGAGATTATTGGGAGTGTGAAAGATGCTCAAGCTGTTGCCCGCCAGCAAGCAACTAAAGACACTGGTAAATATAAATTTCATAAGTGATTATGGTGGTTTATTTGTCAAATGCATATATGGGAAACATCCCTTGGATTTTTTGTTTATATTTATTTTTTTAGAGTTAGTTTCTTCCCTATTTAGTTGTATGTAATATATATCAGATGGGCTAGTTCTTCTACTTAGTTTAAGTTCTATTGGATTGTTTGTTTTGCAGCTAAGACTACCAGTGTAGATAGTTCCAAGTTAGATGAGGATGTGCCTGACGAGGAAGATGATGGGCAAAGGAGAAGAAAACGTCCTAGGAAGGTTCCAAGCAAGGATAGTTTAGACCACTCAGGAATATATCAAGCGCACCCTCTTAAAGTCGTCCTTCATGTTCATGATGATGAGACTCCTTATTCAACAGCCATAAAACTTGTAACTCTTAAATTTGAATACTTGATGAAGTTGAATGTGGTATGTGTTGGAGTGGATGGTTCACAAGAGGATATGGGCAATGACATTTTATGCAATTTGTTTCCTGATGATACTGGCCTAGAGCTTCCTCATCAGGTTTCTTCTTGAGATGTTCAAAGTACCTTTAATTTCATGACTTTTTGTCATTTCCTTAACACTTAAAATTTTTCTTGTGTATTCCACAGTCAGCCAAAATGATTGGCAATGCAGTTGAATTTGATGAAACAAGAACTTTGCGGCCTTACAAGTGGGCCCAGCATCTTGCAGGGATTGATTTTTTGCCAGAGGTGTCACCATTGCTAGGTGGCTCTGAAAGCTCAAATGAAGAAACAGCTAAGCAGTCTACTGTTATATCTGGTCTGTCACTGTATCGTCAGCAGAATCGATTGCAAACAGTTGTGCAAAGAATTCGTGCTAGAAAAAAGGCTCGGCTGGCTCTTGCGTGAGTCACTGCACTGTATGTTTAGAATCATGGATCCTAATTATATAAATAGCTAAGAAGAGGCAGATTTGTTGTTGAAATTAGGTGGTCTCATATGCTTTTTTCACCAGTTTGTGGAATATGTTGTGAAACTGAAATTAGAAAGTACCCTATTAAGTGTTTTGATTTCTCTGGCAGTTTCATCATATGTTTTTGTTTTTTACAGTCCTTTTTGTTCAAAGTCATAAAATGTCTCCTGTCTAATAGTTTTTAAATTGAGGCTACGCGGGTTTTCATTTCTAACATTTTGTTCTCTCATTCAGTTGGCACTCAAGGATCTCAAGTAGATCTAGTGGAATATTTGTAGAATATTTAAAGTTATATTCAACTGACTTACAGGGAGCAGTTTGATTCTCTAATGAAGTTGGAATGGCCAGTTCTCGCCTGTAAAAGTGTGCCATGGACCTCACATAACCCTCGTTGCAGTTTGCATGGCTGGTCATCTCTTGGTTCAGCATGCAATGAAGCATCGTCAGTTCCTGCTGTGGATGCAGAAAAGGTCCAGGGTCCTGATGTTACAATGGAGGTAAGATCTGATACTTCAAAGGAAGAGGTTGAAAACACAAGAGAGGATGGGGAACTTCCGTCCTTAACTTTGGCCACTGCTGGAGTAAGTGATGCTAATCCCACACCAACTAAAGGAACTAATTCTGATCGTTCCAGAAAGCTTGGTTTCATTTCAAAGTGTGCCATATCTCCCCTTAACAAGGGGAAGTCTCCAAGTTTTAAGAAACACGAGGAGGATGTGGACCTTATAATGGAATATGATAGTGAACTGGATGAACCAGCTCAAGTTGAACAGGACACTGATAACATGCCTGGAAGTACAGTGCCTTATGTAGATGACAAGTCATGGGCTGATTGCAGGGTTGAGGACTATATTCTTGTCTTAACTAGAAAGACTCATGATGGTGAAAAGACCATGAGATTAGAAGCCCAGGTAGAATCTTACAAATATTGTGTTTTAGTTTTTCCTTTTCATTTGTTGGCTTAAATTTTGGGCAATTCTTGTGGCAGGTTAAAATTAGCAAGGAGTATCCTCTTAGGCCACCTCTTCTTAGACTGAGACTTTATGCTTCACATCATGAAGAGAGCTATTGCGAGGTAGATTACTCTGAGTGGTATAATGAACTCCGTGCCATGGAGGCAGAGGTAAGCAACCTTAAACTTTGGTAATAAATATAGCTGTGTGCTGCGTAATGTAAAGTGGTTATTTTTTCAACATATCTATTCACTAATCAGAGAAACTAAAGCTTAACACTGCCCTTTCAACCCCGGCCCCGGCCCTGGCCCTGTTCTATCTGGCTGGTTCTAACCCATTGACACCATAGGAAAGCTTGCAAAACAATAACACACCGAATTTTTAATCTTAAGTAAGACAAAAAGAATCCGTCCAAGATCTTAGCAAGCATGATGCATATGTGCAGATGCAATATTCTGTGGTGAGTATATGCTTTGCTTGTGTTGTATTATCCTGGTTTTTTTCTCACTATCTGGTTGAATGGATATAGGTGAGACATTTTTTTTACCAGCGTTTGTGAGGGTTTCTAACCCTTCTTTCACTTACCAATAACCTAGGACTTTAGTTTTCTTCTGTAGATTGAGTTCCTTTTTTGTTTTTTTTTTTTTTGTTTTTTTTTTTTTTTTTGTTTTTTGGGTCAAGTGCTACTTGTTGACTTCTTGTGATATTCATTGATTTCAAATTTTCAATTATTTTGGATAGCTCTCTTCCATAAGATAACACCGAGTTGATTATGTGTTCTGCAGGTAAATGTTCACATAATGAAAACAATTACCCCAGACCAAGAAAATAACATCTTAGCTCATCAAGTCCATTGTCTTGGTATGCTGTTTGACTTTTATGTGGATGACAGGGCAACCTGCTCTGAGAAAAGAATGAGTACATCTGTGATTGATGTTGGTCTGTGCAAACCTATCGGTGGTCAGCTTGTTGCCAGATCTTTCCGAGGTAGGGACCGAAGAAAAATGATCTCATGGAAAGACAATATATGCACACCTGGCTATCCTTATTAGGATATGCTTTCAGGTCGAAGGACAGAATGCCAGCAGCTCTAAGTAGCTTTCGAGTTACACCGGTAAACATGAATAGCAATACTCTCAATATTTCTATATTGTATCATGCATTGCTGGTTTGTTTTTGTCTGTGATTAGTATAATGTAGTCTTTCTGTGCTGTATTATGCGTAGCGGTATCCAATCAGTATCATATCAGGTTGTGTAAGTTCATTATATCGGATTGACTTTAAAGCCATTATCGGGATTGTATTTGAATATATAGATGAACTGTTTTTGTTGGTTAACATCTTGTACAGCCCAGCAACCATGTGCTGACCTAACTACATCAAGAGTGCTTGCTGATGCTAAGCAAGTTTTTGAGAATGCTTTTAAACTCAGAAAAGCTGGTAACTATTTAGCCTGTCAACATAGGAAAAACTAAACCCAGAAAAGCTGGTAACTATTTAGCCTGTCAACATAAGGAAAAACTAAACCCAGAAAAGCTGGTAACTATTTAGCCTGTCAACATAAGGAAAAACTAAACCGTAATCACTACGAAAGAGTATAGGTTTGATAATCAACTACACATTCTACTTTACTGCCTCTACTTGTGCATGATGATGCCTATTAAAATTTAAAATACATCTCAAAACTCAATCTAATCATCTAATTTACAGTGAGAATGCTCTGTTTCTATATGAGCAGCAACATACTATCTTGGTCATTATGCCTAACCCATTCTTACCATAAACCTGTCTGTGTACGTCTAAGGCATCGCCTTTTAGCTCCTTGTTGAATATTATTCATCATCTCTAGAGCCTGCAATCACCAAACACAATACTTTTAATACCCATTTTGACTTGCATAACACATGCACAATACGAAAATCTCCTTTCCCACAATAGGGGCATTCGAGTATTGGACACTGGAAATATCAGGGTGTCAGAATTGCAAGTGGTGGGATGAGAAAGACAATGTGTTACTGATGAAGATTTTCTATGATCTTTTGAATGAGGATGGATATCATTGGTAAATATTCACAACTGGAAAGAAAATAAATATGAGTCCCTGAACTATACTATAAACAATTATAGAATCTCAAATTTCTTATTTCATTTAAGAGTTTGGGGAAATTAGTTCATCTAGGATCACAGTATCATAAAAACGCATGCTATATTAGAAAACACTATAAAGAGATCTCTTCGTTACTTTAAACTAATGTTCATTTCAACTAGTTAATCTTCCCAAAACATCTTCTCTTATAATGATTTCAATGTAACAGGTGTTGCTCTAACATTGATGCAATTTACTTTTCAACTATACTTATGCTACAATATAACAACTCTGGCAGGTTTTAAAAGTGTGTAAGACTGTAAATCATGTTCATACCATATTTTTCTGCATTTCCATAATCTCAGTCTGCAGCAAAAAGAACATTTTCAGTTAGGTCAGTAAAGGGGAAATTAATGTCTCCATGCATGAGAGAACTGAGGGGAAGAAAACGAAAACAAAAACAAAAACAAAACCGAGGGTAAAATACTGACCTGTTTCTTCTGTAGTTCTTCGTTTTCTTCTTTTAGTTTTGCAACTTCTGCTTCTAATTCCATGGTGTAAGCCTGGTAAATATTAAAAAAAAAGAACTTTAGTAAATGCACAAAATTTACAAAAACGAGTTCTTGATCATATTTCTTTTCAATTCAAACAATGTAAAATAATGCCTTAGTTACTATGGCCTGTTGCAGTCTTGAAGACTATTGAAGAATGGTATTGGCAAAATTTCAATTCATGATGCTTTTCTCTTTTTGAAAAATGACATCTGTCCATAAAGCATGTACAATGTTACCTTTTCCTACAAATCAGAAGCTTAAAACTTCTCATGAATCTTAACCACTCAAACCCATTCACACAAGGCCATGTTACAGCATACACATTACCACCCATGCTGCACAAGGTATCCAAAAATGTGAGGAGTTTGGAGATGCACCAAGTCACAGATAACAAAAGCAAAACTTATATTAACTACCATAAAATTTACAAAGTGACAAGTAGTTGAATCTCGTCTTTCTATTTGTTATGGAAAATACAAGTGAATAAGATGAAGCAATCAACTGAGTATGTCTATGCATGAAATTAAGGTGCTTTGAAGTAGAGAATATTGTAAAATTTGTAACAGTACCTGCTTCCGAGCCCTTGATCTTGCAGCTGACTCTCTATTTTTGATCATTCTCCTCTGCCTTCTTTCAACAACCTTCTCAATCGCACTACATTTCCTGCCACGCAGACTGCCATTGAACACAAAAGGAACTGGTGACACGGAAGATGTATCACCGTTACTCTTTGCAAACCCATCTGACGAAACAGCAGGGGATCCTGTAGCAACACTAACCCCTCCAGCCCCCAAACCTACCATACCCATCCTACCACCATGCAATGCAGGGCTTTGAACAAAACCACCATTCATTACAGCATTACTACCATTCATCGCTGGATCAGAAGCTCCCACAGTCCCACCCCTTATTCCATTACTACCTAATGGGCTAGTTGTTGGGATTGCCATGGGAACAGCATATGGCAAAACAGGTTGCTTTGGGAATAGAGGTTGCTGGTGTTGTTTCTGCTGTGGTTGCTGCTGCAAGTGTGCTGTCCCAAGCTGAGGCTGGGCAGATCTGGCGCGGTTGACATTCAGTGGCATACTAGCAGGTTGGATTTCTAATACACTCCTACTTTCATTGGTCCTGCTACCCATCAATCCCGTGTTCTGTCCAGCTTGCTGAAATCCAAATCCAAGTCCAGAATTATTCAGAGTGTGCGTTAAATCGCCAAAAAGAGCAGCACTCTCAGCAGCAGCCTTTCCAGCCAACTGTGCCTCCTCTCTCACAACTCCTGCTCTAACCAAGAACTCCTCAAGCGTTATCTCCCCTAACGTCGGCTGCCTCTGAGGAATATTTGAGCTCCCAAGAGGAGCACTTCCATCCTTCCCAATATCATACACCTTAGACATATCCCTCCAGACCTCATCAACAGTCTTCTGGCTCAGAGTCCTTGGAAGTGTCAAGGACCCTTGTCTCTGCAGATACCCCCCAGGCCCAGGCACACCCCCTTCTTGTGCTCCACTGCTGGATCCCATGGTCGTCTGATTCTCCTCTGCGCTCCAAATATTCTTCAGCAACTCATCCATGTTCATTGACCCAAAATCCTTCCCAATCCCACCCATACTGCTCTGGAACTCATCAAAAGTTAATGAGTAGACTGAAGACTGCCTTGTTAGCCCAAAATTCCCCGGAAACCTTCCCCCACCACCACTTCCAGGCGGCTCATTACCGAAGTTCAAATTACTCCCCATTTCACTATCCTAACATAACAGCACACCAGGCTTATTTCCAAACCTCACACTGTACTCTTCAATCTTCACAATCACAAAACAAAGGCGGATTAATACTTGAATTCTCTGCTAAAACGTCTCTTTACACAAATAATTTATACATACACCACACGCAGACATCTACTAGATACATGCATGCTCACCAAGCCTACTCAGTCATACGTATGCCTATGCGTATACAATTATTATACTATACGAAACGGAGCAATAAAATTTTTTAAAAAATATATCAAATTCTACTCCATTTCAGTTCATTTGCAAACATCCATCTCACATTTTCCTCCTCCCGCACAAATTCCAGAATACGAACTCTACGCAAAATTCATACATGCAGATACATAGCCTTCCAGTCTAAAACCAAAAACAAAAAACTCTTAAAACATTAGGCGATTTCAAGTTTCAACAATTACATGACAGATAAAACTCCACCGGACGACAATCCAAACAAAACAAAAACACGAAAAAAAACTCAAAAACTAAGACGTAAAATTGAAGAAAAACGTCCAAAATTTAGCAGAAGCGAAGACAGTGCAGAAATATCAAGCTAACAGCATAGAACAAACTTAATCATTGGCCAATTATCTATAAACAGAAAGCATATTACTGTATTCAGCAGAAAATTTACATCGAAAACAGAAAGCTAGAAGAAATTTGTTTATACATTGATTTTTACCTTTTTTCTTTTAGATTTTCTTTTTTCTCCTTTTTTTTTTTTTTTTGAATTTTTTGTTTTTTTTTCTTTTCCTCTCTCCTCCTCAGATGTTTGCTGCTGCTATACGGCTCTGCGTATGGGAACTTCTAGGCTACAAGTGTCTTACGGCGACATTTTATTTTAGGCCCATCTTTCTATTATTATATATATAAAAAGCGAATTAAATAATGGGGTTATGGGGCCCATAGCAATGAGACGTGGGCCAATCAGGGTGGAGTAGGAGACTTCGGTGCGCTGGAAAGCCAATGATAACGAGCTAGGTGGGAGGATCCGGACCGCCCACGTGCTCCCGGAATGGACGGTGGAGATGCATCTTTGTTTTTAATCAGATTGGTGGAATGTGACCCGGCATAAGTACGCCCACGACTAACCACTAACCACTGTAGTGGGTTGCGCATTGGTATTTGAAATATAATTGAATTGATTCGAGTCGCCAAAGATCTTGTGGTTGAACGGCATAGTTGTGGTTCGAGAGGTCTCAAGTCTGAATATTACGAGTTTGAAATTTGGTTTGATTTGAAATTTAACTAAGTTTAATAAAGATTTTTTTTTATTATTATTTTTATTTTATAGTTTGAACTCGAGGTCTCGAAATCTGAGATACGAATTTGGAATGAGTTGCCATCATAAAGTTTAATTTGAAATTGAGAAAAATTTTAATTCAAGATTTTTTATCATGACACACACGAACCATTTACTAACTATCACAAGCTTTTGGGTTAAATGGCTTACATTTTTATTTGTTCAAGTTTGGTACGAAAATGTAAGGATTGTTTCTTTCAAGTTATATTGTTTATAAATTTCACATCAAGTAAGTTCACATTTAGTTATATCCATGTCAAAATGAAAAAAAAAAAAATCAAATTAATCACGGAATTATACACAAAAGTGCAATTAGATCATTTAATTTAAAAAGTGCACTAGATGCCTAAACTGTCTAAAAGTATGTAAGTTGACCAAATTTGATTTGTTCATCAAGTCACCGCTAATATAACGGTCATTCTATTAAAAATTTATTATTATTTATTTATTTATTTATTTATTTTTTATAAAAAAGTTAGATGGTCAATTCCCTTTTTGTGTGTAGTTTGGTAGCTAATTTGAACATTTTTCCTATAAAAGTCAATCTTTTCATAAATTTTACTTTGATGGTCGTCGCATCGTGTAAAGTTCAAATTCTACCAAGGACTAAAAAATGATTTGACTTTGTTGTGAAAATAATGTATTATAATTTGATGACAGACACATCCCGTAATTTACTTCTTCCCATTGTCTTCATAGTAGAAGCGGTACGAGACTATTAAATTTGAAATTAAAACTTAAAAATTAATTTTTTGATTGTATAGTTTTATAAGCTGCTAGTTTATCAACAGTTTCAATCAATTTTTATTAAAGTAGGGAAGACTTTGTATGTGAACATACAAGACATTATGTATGTATGCTACACAAGCCATTAACGGCGGAATTTGAGCATTCAATTCGGGACGGCTACTCAAACGGCGATGGGATCAGTGTGAAACAGTTGGGTCTTATACAGAAACCTGGCCACATATTATTATTATTATTTGGAATAAAGGCGCTAGGTACTAGGGAGATTTAGGCAACTTACGGTCCACAGATGTCTGGACCACGGTCCAAAACGACGTTATTGAATTTTATGAGTAGAATAATGTATAATATGTGTTAGAATAATGAAATTTCTAGAATAAAAAAATATATTTTAATTTATAAGTTAGAATAATTTACACCTTAGAATAATGTATCTTATGAGTTATAAAAATGTATAAGGTCGCGTGAAAAAACTCATGGCCTGTTTGGTTGGGCGTAATTTGACTGTAGTTGAATTGCAATTCAGTGGAAGCCAAAATTATGCCGTTTGGTTGGAGGGAATTGCAATTCCCTCCTTTTGCTAAATTACAATTCATGGGCACCCCCTATGAATTGCAATTCGGTGGTTGTGGAAAAGGAAAAAGGGATGAAATGACAAAAGTACCCTTAATTATTACTACTATTATTATTACACAATGACATTTTAGTCTTTATGTCATTTCTTTCATTCTTTACCAAATAATTCTATTCATCCCTACCAAACAATGTAATTTGAATTCCTATTTTATTCACATCTTATTCTTTTCCTACCGAATTGTAATTCATTTTCACCCTAATTCCTTACTTCCAACCAAACGCCCTGTCAAAATATTGGCCATGTTTGGTAAAAAATTGGCCTATAGGCCAATTTTGGCTTATTTGACCACTATTAATTGTTTGATTTAGTTAAAATATCAATATAAACGTTTGGTTAATTAGCTTTTTGCAACTCCAAAAGGCTAAAATTAAAAAAGCTACTCCTAGCAACTTTTTCAATTAGCTTTTTGAGAAAAGAAATTATACCAAACAGCTATCAGCTAACAGCTAATTTACCAAACACTTTTCTACAATTAGCTAATATTATCAACTATTTATACCCTCTAATTAACACAAATCAACTAACAGCAAACAGCTATCAGCTAACAGCCGTTTTACCAAACAGGGCCATAGTCTTTTTAGTGTGTGGACCATCACGGTCCACGCAATAAGTATTGGTAGATTTAACAGCCGCCAAACCTAATTTAGTATGCTTGAGTATTTATTGCGTTAATTTAATCAATTTTATTTTATTAAATGCAGCAATTATTGCCACTTTCTATTTTTAGTATACACCATATTTACATGTGGTATTAATAACAAAATTCTTATTTTTAACTTAATACAAACATTAAAAATCATTTATAATATTTTCTTGTATATTCTTTGAGATTTTTATTAAATTTTAAGTATTCACTTCATACAATGTGAAATATTCATCAACGAAAATATTGTTATAAATCATCAGTGATTACGGTTGAAACACAAAAATGAGAAATTAAAGTTGAACTTATAAAGATTAAGCATGTTAATTATGTTATACAAAAAATGAAGTTGACTTAAATGATTATACATCAAAAAATTAGGAAAAAAAAAAAATAAACATAATAGCTTGACTATACTACATATGTTCATATTTGACAGTGATGGGTAGCAACCTGACTAGTCAGATGGGAATGCTATCTACTTCAAGGCATTGATCAATATATTTGATAAAATTTTGAAATTAAAATCCCATTTCTTTCTAGAAGCATTTAAAAACCTTATAACGTTTGGAGTGACAAGAAAACTAAAGTTATTATATCCGATGATGAATACTGGATAAACCTTTCAGGTATAAGAGCATCCGCATCAGTTTGGGAGAATGTAAGAGTGATTATGAAAGAGAATGTGGGAGGGGAGAGAAAAAAAAAACAAAATTAATTTAAAAATAAATAAAAATTAATTAATGAATCATGTCAGGCGCGCCAGGCGTGACAGTTGCTGTGCGTGAAACGCGTATAGCAACTGCAACAACTTCATTAATTTCTTTTTCTTGGGAAGAGAAATAACCCAACCATATCAGGTGTTCCCCACTTCTTCTCTCTCTTGGTTCTCTCTCTTCCACCATGGCATTTTGGTCTCAAAAGAAGTGAATTCTTCTCCATTTCTCCTCTGATGGGGTTGTTCTAAGAATTATGTTCTATCCACGAGTTATGTCTTTCGGGGCAAAAATTTAAAACTTTTCCAAATTTCAATGTCAAAGTAGAAATGGTAAAACCGGCCAAAAAGAGGGCTAATCACTTCGTTGAAACATCAAGTCAATGGGTATGACTCTAATGTTGGCATTGCCTTACTTCTTTGGTAGAATTTTATCTTGCCGTTACCGACCAAGCATTATAGATAAGGTGAGCGTTCAAGGACACTTTACGGCTAGCAAGTACTCCAAGTAGGAACCCAAGGCAGAAGAGCAAAGTCAAATGTGAAACCAGATTTTGTTCAATACATATAACTAATGACTTTAGGGATAAGATTATACACTATCTTTTAATTTTTCTCTCTCATCATTTTTAAAATATTACTCCGTAAATAACATTTAATAGATTTTTTTCTAAACTTAAAGACCCTGATTGATAAAATAATTAGCTTATAGTCAATTTTGATTTATTTGACTACTATTAATTATTTGACATTATTAAAAATTAATATAAGTGTTTAATTAATTAGTTTTTTGTAATTTCAAAATGCTAAAATTTAAAAAGCTGTTCAAAACAACTTTTTCAATTAATTTTTTGAGAAAAGAAATTATACCAAATAGCTATCAGCTAACAACTAATTTACGAAACACCTTTCTACAATCGGCTAATGTTATCAACTAGTTATACCCTCTAAATTTAGTAACATGTTTGAAATTCTCAAACACACATTTAGGGTATATATGTTTGGTTCATGGGTTTACACACTAGGAATGTGAATCAAAATCATAGTTAGTGTTTGATTGACAACTTTTTAAAACACAACTATGTGAGTTGATTACATATTCAATTACAAATCTCATTTCCTAATTAAAAAATGGTATCATTTCATCTTATTAATAATCTAATTTTTAAACTTGGATTAGTACTTTTAGAAATTTGTTTTGACTTTTTTTTTTTTTTTGGGTTCATATTGATATTTTGGATGTCATTATATTATGATCAATTGTCTTAATTTTTTGTTTTTCTATTTTGTAAACCTTTATTCCCATTATAGGGTCATACACAACCAAACATCAATATTGGTAATTATTACAATTCCACCCTACTACCAAACATGCAAAATATTTTTACCAAAACTCATTATCATTACTAAGGGTGTGTTTGGTTCGCACATGGGGATCGGAATCGGAATAGGCATCAAACGCTTGGTAATTGTAGTATATTTTGGTGAAAGTATTTTGCATGTTTGGTAGTAGGGTGGGATGTGAATGATTATCAATATTGCTGTTTGATTATGTATGAAGAGTAATAATAGAATGAAACTCTTATTTATTAGGAAATAAATTTTTCAATTAAGGGAATAATCAAAACTCATAGTAATGTTCTCAAAACCTGTCAACAAAACAATAATAATGACTTTGATACTCATTCTTAATAATTAAACCTGTCAACCAAACACACCCTAAATATTCAATTCTTATTCCAATTTCGATCATGTGCGAACCAAACGCACCCTTAATATAATATCCAACATTAACTGCTGTCAAATTTGCAATCCCACATTCCCACTATTTTTACTTGAGGTAATCTATATTTGGCATTGGGGTCATGGTTGAATGACCTAACAAGAATGGTTAAAAAGAGAAGAGAGACAGTTTCGCATCATCTATCCTGCATTGAGGATTGCTTTAGTGGGGAAGATCTTATCCAGCCTATGGGGCAACTACAACTATGCAAAAAGACAAAATGCCACTTATCTGTCAGTCCCTTTCTCAATGTCTTTATCCCATGTATAAGCTAAATACCACTTTTTATTTTTTGAACTACAACCATACATCACAATAATTGGTGTTGCAAAACTTCTCCTTCAAGTGATTTTTTTTTTCAAAATTTCTTTTATAATCCAGGATTCTCCGTTGCAAGCTCATAAAAGGATAAATCGAGTCAATTTAAAGTGAGGTATCCTTAGCATGCCATAACTACATGAGGCACCTTTAAATCTGTATCATACTCGGACTAATTCTCGTTCGCACCGGATCAGCCTAATTAAGGGACAAAGTGCTGGACAGCTTGGATTTTCCATACGAGAGGGGGTTTAAACTCTCAATCTCTCTTAAAGGATAAGAGTGCACGGTCACTCACGCCAACCAAACTGGTTAAATAAGTGTTTAAAATTAATTATAGTTGTTTGTGCCCATAAATTATATTAATGTTGATACAATGCACAGTTCAATATCATCACTGGGCCTATCCAATTCACCTACCAACTAAAGCTATGCAAACACGTGGAAGGCATTTAAGTATGGCACGAGTTAAAGCGATGGAGTACAAAATATTATCTTATTAGAGGCATCTTTTGAAGTTCATAAGTCCTAAATATGTAATAGGTGTCCAATTTTTTTAGTTCAGATAACTCATATGACTAGTCCTATTTTTGGACACTGTCATGTGCTCAATTGTCCTTTCCAAGACAAAGCAGCAACAATGGTGGTGGTGAATTGGTGATCCTGCTTTTCTGGAGGCCAAAAGGTCACCCAAATTTGTGCCTTCCTACTCCCCATATTTTATTATTAAAGGAAATATAAACTATTATGAGAAAGATTTTTATGTTTCATTGTAAAAATTTAGAAAAAGATATTATTTTTGCCATTTGATATGTTTTATTTTTATTTTCACCTTTTCATTTTTAGGAGAGATGTAATGAAGAATTTTCTAAAGTATTATTATTGTAATATTTATTATAAAGTATTTATAAAATGTTTGGTTCAAAGTATCTCATATAATTTCAAGAATCTAAATATTGTAATATTATATTTCCTACCAAGACTATGTGGTCTAATGGTACCTGGGTTGGACTTTCATTACATTCCCTTGTTTAGTTCACAAGGGTTTAATGTCACTGTAAGGGCAACCTCAATGAAGGATTTTTCACTTTTTTTTGGGTGAGTTTTTGAAGATTTGTTGTTAATTTGGAGAAGAGAGAATAGAGGAAAAAGAGTGAGTAGTACCGCAAAATCTTGAGTTTTTTTTTTTTTAATCGAAAATGAGAGACAAAAAAAAAAAACACACACATTTATGCTACTTGTGTGTCCAAAGGGCGCTTGTTTTTTGCGCACCCACGAGACATGTCAAAGATGTTGCAAATTGACGACTATTTTTACTTTTATTGGTTTTTATCATTTCTTTTTTTAAGGTTGCAAAATCACCTGACAAAAAAAATTGTAAAAATCGCGAATCATTGAAATTGTTCTTAGAGATTCTTAAACTTTATTTTTAGTTATTTTTGTTAAATGAAAATCATGTTTTATTCATATTCTAAGTTATTTGAGATTTTCAAAAATGGTTACGGTTACCTCAAAATCTCTTAAACCAAACAACCATATTTTTTATTCTTTTGTTTTAGGTTACCTACAAACTTAGTAATTCCACTATCTTTTTCTTTGCGTGTCAAAACTAGTACCATTAAATATTTTTTTAAGAGATGTCTCTACAGCATTGGTTAGCATATAACTCTAGTATACTAATGTTTATGGATATGACAATCCCTTCGAGTCTTAATATAATGAATATTGAATGTGATAAGTGATAAGCCTTTAGTTAAAGCTAATGAATATTAAATATTCGAATTCAATAATTAATTAATGAACGCTCATGATGATATAACCTGCGTCGGCCGTGGCGGCTCATCAGAGTGGGTGCGTGTCTGAATATAGAGCTCAGCTTGCACCACCGCTAGATAATGGTGGTCACTCATGCTGGAACCACTTTCATCACGTACTTATCTCGAATTAAATTTCATCACTTTTGACTTTAAGCAGTCATCACTTTCGTTACGCTAACGTTGCTACAGTGAATACATTAATTATGCGGCATCCATTGTATGTCAAGTGTCAACTCTATATAGGCAAGGGGGAAAGGGCAAATTATTCCGTGCACCCAGATCCATCTTGTAAGGTGAATTCGAATCTAAAGTATACAATTTACATACTGAATGTTCATAATTTATATATTGAATATTCACAATTTTGTAAAAGGTAAATTGTGAAGAACATTTAGTATGTAAATTATGAGCATTAAGTATGTAAATTGTGAACATTCAGTAGGTAAATTGTGTATTTTAGATCCGGGTGCATGATATAACTATTGAAGGAAAGTTATAATACCTGGAATTCAATTAGGAACTGTCAATACGTACGGACAGCTCAATTAGTTATTGAGCGATAAATTATGGACAAGGGCGAGTAATCTAGAAACTCCAAAATAGAGGAAACATCATGTAACTGCAATTCAAGACACAGAGAATCTTTAAACAAGGAAATATTGACAGCCTAATTCTTGCTGGAAAATGGTAAAGAAATAAGAGAATAAGCACTCAATATCAATGCTTATTTCAGGAGATTGCTATCTTCTAAGTTCTAACACTATTACTTAGCCCATGAAGCAACTGTATCGACAGTGCTGTAATCACGTGCAGAAAGTCCAAACACGATCTCTGACAAATAAGAACTTTTATCAGAGAAGTTAGAAAAACAAATGTGAGATAACAGCCAATGTCGGAATTCTTGTTTTTTGTGCAAGAAAGAGGCTATAGGCATTTTAAGTAATCATACAACTTGTATTTTAATTACAGAACAAAGGGTTAACAATTTTCTTACAGTATTAATACAACAATTTCTATTGTATCCTTTAAATTGTTGGTTGCTCCTTAAGAATAGGTGAAAACGCCTCTCTTCATAATATGTGGTATGAGTACAAGTTCTTATACCTTCAATCATGCCTAAACTTGTGACGTCTCCGAAAGTGCCTAAGAATGAAGCTGTCAGCATAGAGTGGGTAGTTTTTCCTGATCAAAGCCTTTATACACTTCTGATAAGAGAAGTCAACCGATTCTCCATCCTTTCGAACTATGAATAAGCATCTTGAGTTTCCAAAAATGGTGTGGTATCCTATCTGTTTATCAAAACCAAAACACTTACAGCATTTAGCAATTCAATTCAAGAGAGTGATTTCACAAGTCTCTCTCACAACTCACAAGAGGTTAATATAAAGCAGCCTAAGCCTTCAAACAAATAGAGCTAATTCAAACAAGAAGCTTCATAAGTCATGGAAATAGGTTATGTAATCTTTTATATAGTTTCTTTTAATAGGGGTTCTAAGTTATACGTAGGAGTACGGGCATTCAATTTTATCCTTGTAGTAAGCTAAGCCCCTTCCTAGGCAATTGATCTAGGTTTTGATCTCATCTCCTATTCTCCTCCCACCATGTACCAGAGAAATTTTGTAGCTAGCTGTATGTGTCCAAGCAAGCCTACCATAGCTACTAAAATTTCATAGATTAACAAATAGTCTATATTATATTTATAAGTACCTTACAGTTATTTCCTTTTTTTATTTTTTTGTAAAACTACCATTCAGTTAAATTTTGTTATACCCTTTGATTTTGTTAATTAATTACTAACTGCACAGCATTAGAGAATAAATTTATGTTCCAGTAAAACTAATTACTTAATAAATTACGATTATGAATACAATTAATAATAATAAAATAAAATAAAATAAATTTTCAAAAAGCCTGGCCCTTACCAATTTCTAGACGATACAGCAATTGCACTCATTTTTATAAAAACTGGTAAACCAACAATCTGAGGCTTTTGTATGGTATACCAAAATAAAGTATTTCAATCCTTTCTAATTTATTTTAATTAAGGAAATGAAATGTCAAGCAATTTTAAATAAAATTGAAAAGATAAATATTATATTATATTATCTAACTTATTTTCACTTGTATGAATTTACGTATTTAAAAATGTCCCATCAGTACAAATATCACATGGAAGCATTGGGGATGTAATCCATATACCTGCCCTTTACCACATAAAATAGCAATTTCATATGCCTGAACTAACATTTAAAATATATTAGTATTGCACCAATGAGCAGTCCAAATCCCCAAACTCCAAAACAAGCAACCGAGATTTTCCTCTAGATCATCGAGCCCTATTAAGAGCTTGTAATGCAAATACAGTTTCACTATGATGTGAACAATGGTGGTCAGTAAATCTCTAGCAGTCACTTCCTCTTTTAGTCCCCCTTTTTCTAATTGCACACTGATCATACTAATAGCAAAGACATACATCTAAATGAGAGATAATGATAAAGCATGTTTCTAAACATAATTGAATAATATTGAATAACAAAACACGGACATGCTTCTAGCAAATATAAATAAAAATAGTAAATGGAAAAGCAATAGGTAGGCAGAAATATTGAATTGGGAAGATGGGAAAATGATGCTACATACCGTAATATAATCAACACCACATCCAATCTTCATTTCATACTCTGGATGGTGTGGAAGAATCCTTTCTAGAATAGTACTCTCATGTTTGGGGCTTAGTCTATCACCAGCTTCATACCTGCAAAAAGTAAATCCAGTAAACAAAATTGCCTTCAATGCCACTAGTACAGTAGTAGTACCTTACTCATTTTAAGACATGTAAAAGCAGGCAGGATTAACCAAGTGAATAGAACAACTATTCTTTGCCGAAGGTGCTATAACCAACTCCGTTCACATCATTGTGCTCACTGGTCCGCACAATGAAACAGCTAATGAGATTCTACCCAAAGTGTGTCTATTGCAGGTTGATAATTATTTCTAGACTCTATTGAGAATTTTTGGATCCTCCCCTATCGAGATAAAGCCCTTGGTATTTTAATAATATATAAATAAAAATCCACTCAAAAGAAAGAACAGAGTTGAAATGGTGAGTTCAATTACTAGGAATCCTTCTTTGAATGAGGCATCACTTGTTGTCTCAAAGAAAACGAAAGATGCTAGTGACTGAGCCTTGCAGCAAGGTGGGTATAGCTTACTTATGGCATGATAGTGAAGTATATATATGATATGAAGAGCAAAGAAGAAGTGAAAAACTTCTTCGGAGATCCCATGTTTTCAAAATGAAGCTGGACACATGAATTAGACAGAAAAGACCTAGCATTCAAATGAAAAAGAAATACTAATACTACATATAAAAGAATGGAAAGAGCGATGCAAACTCTTATACAGACACACATTCAAAAATCCTGCTAACATTATCTATTATGTTCTGGACTTCTGGTATCATATTATGCAATGAATCCTGAATAGGCATAGATGATAGTTTTCACATTTTATTAGCCTCACTGTGGAGGCAACCTAAAGAAGCTGCTTCATAACTCATTGCAGTTCCAGCTGTTTTCACATTCTACACACTTCAAAGGTTAAACAGATAGAACATTAGTTTCTCCTTAACAAGTGAATTCAAATTCACAGCTGCTCCCCTTCCTCAATTATCTAAATCACTCATTTGGGGAAGGAGGGGGATTCAGTGGAGCTCACACTCGATTGCAACTAATTCATTCTCATATAGTTCTATCCGCACCGCATGTTTGAATAACTGTAAATATCGCAATTGAGATTGAAATACATAAAACGATGCAACAAAAAATAGCAAACTCACTTTCCAGAATGGAGAATCATCCTAACAAGTCCGACAAGCGGAGCCGTTTCCTCCAAAATCACGTCCTCCCAATCAACCCACCCATCTTCACTCTTTCTCTCCCCCTCATTGTCGGATTCCTCCTCAGCAGACTCCTCCTCCGCGGCGGTGTCCAATAACGGCTCAATCACCGGCCTCCTCAACAGCTCCGAGCTGTAAGCGTCCCGACTGCTCCGATTCCCACCGCCTTCGGCGCCAATCTTTAGCCCCGCCGCGAACGGACGGAACTGAAAGTGGCTCCAGCAAGGGGACGAGAAAGAAGCCGGTGGAAGTAACGGATGACAAGAGGTAAGGTTACCATGGAGGAAATCAACTTGCAGTGAACTCGCTGGAGAACAAACTGAAACCATTTCAGTATAAATCAATATAGTTGGAAACAAAATTCCTAATAATTCTACTATTCTTCTTCGCAATTCATTGATTCAGCATGTCAATGGTTTCTGTTCCCCTTCGGTTCTGTGACAACCAATCAGTGTTCATTTCATGGATGCTTTACCCGGAGAAGAAGATAAAACACTACACTGAACAAAAAAATAAAAAAGAGCTTTTATTGGGCGGGCTGGGTTTTCAGAAAAGGTATGGGCCATGGCCCGTGGGATGAATCCGGGTTTCCTTTTTATCGGGACTCGGGAGTTATATGCACTACAGGCCCAAGTATAGGCTGGATAAAGCAGGAATAGTTATGCTGTGCATCTGTATGCAGATGCAAAAACGACGTCGTTTTATTAAAAACACGCGTTTCCCCTTTAAAAAAAAAAATTCAGGTTCGATTCCTAGTAACAACATTACTTTGTTCATTCATTATGAAATTTTAGTTCATGGATTATGGAATTATAGTTCATCGATTATGGAACTATAGTTCATCGATTCTGGAATTATAGTTCATCGATTCTGGAATTTTAGTTCATAGATTATGGAATTTTAGTTCATTCATTCTGAAAATTTTAGTTCATAGATTAGATTATGGAATTATAGTTCATAGATTATGGAATTATAGTTCATCGATTATAGAATTATAGTTCATCGATTATGGAATTATAGTTTCGAACCTAATTTTTTTTTTTTAAGGGGAGACGCGCGTTTTATAAAAACGACGTCGTTTTTGCATCCGTATGCACCATGCTTGGTGCATACGGATGCACAGCATAATTTGCCATAAAGCAGTATCAATTTCATATTTGGGTCGAACAGTACTAGTGAAGTCTGAAAACCGCAAATTATGTCCTGGAAACGTGTTCACCATTCATGGTGAACACGGGTCTAAACAGTGTTATTTTTATAGGAAAAAAATTTTAATTAATGTGCTGTTAACGGTGCGCGTTTGTTCAGATTATAAATTTTCTGTTATGAAATTATAAATGTACTGTAAATTCATAATCTCATAACAGAAAATTCATAATCGCATAAAAGAAAAACATTTATTAAAATATAAATTTTTTGTTATGAGATTATGAATTTACAGTTATGTAATTATGAATTTTCTGTAAATTCATAATCTCATAACAAAAAATTCATAATTTCATAACAGAAAATTCATAATCGCATACCAGAAAATCCATAATCTCATAATAGAAAATTCATAATTTCATAACAGAAAATTCATAATCTCATAAAAGAAGATTTATAATTTCATAACTGCACATTCATAAATCCATGCATGCACATTCATAATTTATGAATGTTGAAGAAACTTGCGCGAAGAGGAAGTGAAACCGCGAAATGTGAAAATGAAGAAGAAAAGCCGTGCGGTTAATTAAGAAAAAAAAAAAAGAAAGAAGAAGTTAACGGTGCACCGTTACCGTTGGGACCGGATGGTGAACACGGTTCCATGGCATAACGATTGTCTGCAAACAATAATGGCTGTAACTCTTGGGGGGTTGTTATGTTGTGCAACTGTGTGCACCATGCACGGTGCATACGGGTCTAGATTCATAATTTTTATACTATAGATTCATAAAATTTATACTGTAGATTCATAATTTTTTCATAAAATAAACTAAACACATCAAATTTTTCAAAATGCAACCAAACACAGAAAAGTAAAATATTTTCTTAAAAATAACTCATTTTTCAAAAAATATTTTTCAGAAATTATTTTCCTGCTTTACAAACGGACCCTAATATCACAAACGAGTGTCAATGTGTCATGCAAATCACACCTCTGCATGCCTTTATATAATTGTTGCAAGATTTCTCGTATATTAATATATTTTATAGCTCACTACTTAATTAAAATATACCGCATTCACGTAGCACTCTCCAAGCAATAAATACTTGTTTAACCAAATTGTCAAGAATGCAATCTTAATATGACATCAATCAAATCACAAATTAATTTCGACTCATGACCCTGCGTGCCAAACCTGGGTGTACCGCCCGTGCAAGGTGCAATTGTACTCTTGTTCGTCTGCCGGTGCCGATAAGACTGAAGTATGACCTTTGAATGCCGAACGGGGCACCCGTGGTTTTCCGGCTGGGCCACGTGCCGGTGAACGTAAAGGATCAAAGAAGCATTTCTGCGGTGCCAAACACGCCCATAATAAAACTTCGTATGTCGTGTATCCTCTCTCGGTGGCAAGACTCACATGTGCATGTTACAAATTAAATGCTATTGAGTGTCCGAATCTCTGTAAGTAATTGCTTTGATTTTTCTTTTTTTTCCCTGTTCGCATCATATTGATATCCGCATTTTGTAAGTGAAATTAATCAAATTGAATTTTAGTTGAGGCTTATTTGAGGATAGCTCTCTCAAATGCGTTGTTGTATATACATGGCTCTAGATTCATCAAGTAAATAACTTAGGATTGTGATTGAATCGAAGTGATTCATACATCCTTAATTAAATGTCAAAGGTTCGATCTTTTAATTTTAGATAAATCTCCAAACCAGTTGTCACACTCAATAAAAGTGCATACAAGGGGATTAATCACTTGGGCTACACTCTAAAAAAGATTCTGGAAATGTTGCATAATAGACTACTATGACACATTGTTCTTTTTTTTTTTTTTGGATGACGAGAGAACCCTGCAACCATTGTTTGATGGTGTACATTAAAGCAGCCTAAGTTGTCAATAACTGATCGGATCATAAAACCAAAAAAGTTAATACGTCGTTCTTATTGGGAGTCGAAATTGAAACATTGTAGTTACCAAACAAACAACTAATTATTATCAACATTTATCTCATATTTATTTAAAGTACGCATGCATATCTCTGATATGGACGTGTTATTTATGACCAATTTGTTTATAAATTATTACGATCAATTTGTTTATATAAATTATTGTTTACTAAAGTATTACGATCAATTTGTTTATAATAATATTTTTTTTTAATCCAAAGGAAGAGTGATATCCATATATTTACAAATTAGTTGACACATATTTCACTTTCAATGATTGAATGAAAATATCAGTGATTGAATAAAATAGATGTAAATCGAAAAAAGTACAAACATTAACATCCTAAATCCAACCATCCGACACCAATATATCTTCCATCCACTCGTTGTCACGACTCAAACATTCAGTGAACCTCCAGATACATGAGGTGGTCCTCCATACCTCAAATACGAACGGTAATGTCATCTGTCGACCGAAATGTTGGCCGGGGAAATGCACACATCTACTAATATTATCGTTTCATGGGTGCATTATTCGAGTCGTGGATCGCGCGCGTGCAGCTTCCCCCGACCGCCGCTACAAACTTTGGCCGCACGTGTTCATGTGGCATGCCAGATCCCGTTGAATGAATTGAAAGGCGCAAGCTCACACCCAAATAATGATGCCATTTCCACTGCTCGTGGTGGATCTCTTGTTATTAGTTGTTACAACGTTGTAAGATTTGGGCAGCCGACGAATTTAAGTCTAATCGGTGATGATATGATGTGGCCTTTTAATAATTGGTGAGATTTAACCAATTGAATAAATAAATTAAACCCAAAAAGCAGATTAGAAATGCAACTGACACGACGAACTTCAAACCAAATCTTAATAATCAAATAGGCATAATTATCCGGATTGAATCCATATTAGTTCGTAGGTCATCCACATTTATGGATATTGCACATTTTCTAAGAAAAAAGAAGCTAAGTTGACAGAGATAAGCAAAAAAGAGAGTCTTGGGGTTCCTCTGCAAGAGAGGAAATAATGACAGAAAAGTGGATCTCATTGAAAAAATGAGGTCAGTCGCATCATACGCTTGTGCGTGTCAGTGCGCCCAGCGGGCACGTGCAGTGCACGCTCAGATGGAGAGGTACTTAAAGAAATAAAATCAAGGAGTATTATGTTTGGACTTCTCTTTAGCTACGAGATTTTGATACAATCATCCAACAATAAATAAAGAGGTCAACCCATAAGACACTCTAGGATGTCAGATGGAGGCCCACACAATAAAATTAACAAATCTATTATGCTCTTAAGGAACATTATTCACGTGGACTTACCGGTTTCGGCATAGCTATGCATTACATTCCTCCACTAAATTAACTATATATGGGACATCTAGGCATTTCATCCACGTAAATAATTAACACTTGTTGTGCATTACTTTGAACCAAAATAATAAATTTGTTTTTCATATGATCTAAGCTAATTTGTCACCAAAATCTTCACTATCTAACATTCTAATAATCTAATGTGACAATATATGATACTCCGTATATATTTGATTAATATGTAAATTCATTTTTGTAACGCGGGTCGGGAGTCAACTAATTCATGATAACGAATTACTAAAAAGAAATTTATTACTATGTTAGATGATAAAAGATTTTGGTGAAAAAAGTTGGTTGATGTATACTTACCTTTATGCACATATTAACATATACTTGATGAGATGAGACAATTTGGGGAAATGGACATTACCCATACTTCCAAGGAGCAAAACAAGTCGGTGAACTCGGCCAATCTCACTATCAACAATGAATATAGTGTAAAATTTGTGGAGTCTTCTCGTCCCTCTTTAACAAATTCTTTGCCACAATAGATTTGGTGTTTGCCAAAAAAAAAAAGGAGATACATTTAACCATGGCTAGGTCTTTTGTTTGAGGTTCCGTCTACTTTTATCTAAAAAAAACATATTAACATATGCTTCTCTCAAAATGTTAAATCCTCAATCACAAAAACTCAGCACACCCAATCCAACAGAGTATTTTGAAAGATGTAAATTACAATGATTCAATGACTCAACATACATAATTAAAATCGATGTACACAAGAGATCTGTCAATTTTTTATTTTTTTTTTGAAAGCAAACAATCGAAGTATTATTACTGCAACTGCATGAGAATAAAATCAGGAGGGACAACGTCCCTGTACATTGTATCACTGTGGTCCGAGACCTGTGAAGCTAATAAATGTGCAATAACATTAAAACGTCTAGGGATCGAAACTAAAGCACAAGAAGTAAAAAACGCCATAATAGCTGATATAAAGTATATACGGATGCCCCTACGGTACCGTACGGACGTTCAGGGCTTGAGCTCGGGGTCAGTCAACAGTGGGT